AGGGGATCTCGTAGTCGAGCAGTCTCGACTAGAGCTTTCTTTCTTGTTTTATTATTCATTTTTCTTTTAATCAAAATGTTTTTTTTTAATCACATTGTTCAATCAAAACAAAAATGGAATGTAAACAAAGTTGATTAATGTCGAGAATTCAAGGCGAGGAATTTATAGATCTTTCTGCTTAAATTAACTTTGCCAACTTATTTTTAAATATTATAAAAAACATACTTAAATTTGAAAAATTTATGCTCTTACTAATTCGAACAGTTAAATGAAATTGTTTTGCTATAATAAATATTAAATAAATATAATCACAATAAATAATATGAAATGCGTCTTATATGGTTTCTAAATATTTTGACATATATAGCGCGCACTTCTAATTTTATAGCACCAAATGTGCCCTTTTGGATATTTATCATAATTAATGTTTACAAATATCCACTTAATTAGTTATTTCCAAAGTGTTTAACCACGAATGCTTTATAGATAGACCGCAGCATAATATGCCCACACTTAGCTGATCAAATCGTAGCATATGTCTCTCTCTATATATACAGATATGCATGTATATATATGTATATAGCTCATTTATTATATATGTGTATATATATGTACATGTATGTGTGTGTATATTCATGTGTCTGTCACATATTCTCTGAGCTGAACGCGCCTACGCCAAGATTTACGACCGCAACGTGTGTTTGGGCCACGTCGCGTGTTCTGTTCCGTTCCCCCTCTCCCCCCGGCTGCGGCCAGACATCTGTTATCACTGAGCCGCAAGCCAAAATGAGAATTAGAAAGTGAGAGTAAATGGTAAATACATAAAAACAAAAACCAAACACATACATATAGAGTATATATATGATATAGTATGTACACATGCCAAACAACCGAGTGCTAAATATAAAAACATGTGGGAAAAAAACCCCAAATACAATTCGGCTAAGTAGAAATTGTGGCAAGATTTTTTATGGAATTACGTATGGACTATGAAATTCTCTATATATTTGTGAATTTTACGAATTCCAAGGAATCTATATAGAACATGAGCTAATATATGAGGCGAATATATTAAATTTATAGATGTAGATGATATTTGTCTATAGATTTTTGAAGTGGTTCGTAATACTTTCACTTATTAGAGTGAAATATGGCTAGAAATAACAGAGAATCTATTTTAAGCTTAGCATCTAATCCATTGATTGATTGCTTGACTGATTGAAGAGCTAAACAGAGGGAAAACTGAAGCACATAGAAAGCTAAGCAGGTTAAATTTTGAGATATATAAACTGATTGAAGCTTAAACTTAATACATATACATATTTCTGATTGTTTGATTGATTGACTGATGAATCGACTGTTTGACTGACCGAAGAGCTAGACAGCTTGACTATTCATATCAGTAACTGCCTCACATAGATCAGCGGAAAAAAACTACCCGAGCTGCCATAGACAGCAACTGACATCTCATGACGTAATGGAACTCAATGATAAGCTCCCTGGAAAGTTCTTTAAACGTTAAACGATCGACGACATTTGACAGTCTTCAAATGACAGCTTCGGATCTTTTTTTGGGTATATTTCCGCTTAACTGAATCACAATACCAGGGAATCGTGTAAAGCCCAATTAATGACAGCTACTATGTATTTATGATCGTAGTCGAGCAGCTGATGGGGCCGTGACTTATCATGCCCGGCTGTCAGTTGGCGCTGGAAAATCGCATAAATAGAAACATTTATTAAATGGGCGCTCGAGCATTGGCCAAAACATCAAAACAGACAAACGACGACGTCAGCTGTCAAGCGGCGCTGTCTGTCACAGACGTCGACTCCAATGGGGGAACTATTTGACCAGACCTTGGCCACACCCGCAACTAAATGTCAGCGATAAGACGAGGGCTGGCCACACTGATTTATATAATAGATATGTAGGTAGGATAGTTACTTGAATAGTGGCTAAAACTGCTGCAGCGCATTGGCCCAATGTCAAACTGTGCCACATGCCACAGACACATGCAGCAGGAGACGCGCCATAAATTGCAAATGAAATAGAAGTAAAGCGACACAGCAGCGTCCTCTCTCTCTCGCTCTCTCTCTCTCTCTCTTGCTCTCTCTGTTTTTCACTTCTTCTTAGCTCACTCTCATCCTCTTTCTCTTTCGCTCTCTTTGTTACACAATTGGCAATGGCAGCGCACAGTTGATACGAAAACCTCAGCGCTGCACCGTGAGCAAAGTGCAATGAGATGTGAGCAAAAATATAATAGATTTTAGACACAGCTTGTCCTTGTCTCGTTTGCTTATTCTCTGGCCTCTGTCTTCATTTCGAACTTGTCTGTCGCTCCTTTTCTCTCTCTCTCCCTCTTTCTCAGGCTTTCTCTGTCTCTTGGTTTCTTTTGTCTTTTGCCTCCCTCTTTGACATTCTCTCTGTCATTCGCTTTCACTCTCTCTGGCTTTCCTTATGTCTTCTCTCTCTGTCTCCCTCGCAATCTCTCTGTCTCTCCTTCTGGCTGTCTCGTTCTTCTTCTTTCTCTCTCTCTCGTTATTTCTCTATCTCTATCTTTCAATCTCAATCTCTGTCTCCCTTTTTTATTTTGTCTGTCTCGTTCTTCTTCTCTCTCCCTTTCT